GACAAATTGGAGAGTCCAGCTGAGAGTGATAAAAATGGTGAGCGGGTTGGGGAACATGACTTATGAGGAAAGACTGAATGAAATGGGCTTATTTAGTCTAGAAAAGAGGAGACTGAGGGGACTTAGTAGCAGCCTTCAACTACCTGAAGGGGGGTCTGAAAGAGAATGGAGCTAAACTGTTGTCAGTGGTGGCAGATGACAGAACAAGGAGCAATGGTCTCAAGTTGCAGCAAGGGAAGTTGAGGTTAGATATGAGGAAAAATTTTCTCACTGGGAGGGTAGTAAAACCCTGGAACAGGTTACCCAGAGATGTGGTGGAATCTCCATACTTGGAGGTGTTCAAGATCTGGTGAGACAATGCCTTGGCTGGGATAATCTAGTTGGGGCCGGTCCTGCTTTGAGCAGGAGGTTGGACTAGGTGAGCTCCTGAGGTCCCTTCCAACCCTAACTTTCTATGATTCTGTGATTATGACTTGTTAAAGGTTAGGTTGGATGAGAGAAATTGAAGGTCTAATGATTTTTCTGGACAGAGAAACTGAGGTAGCATCAGAGGTGACATTTCTGTTAAGGAGATCTGCAAGGATTTTACCTGGAGATTTGCATTAAAGTTTGACTAGCACTGTTCTCTTGACTTGATCTCCTGCTTTTTTTGAGAGGGCGGTTTCTTCAATCTGTGTTCCATTAGAAATTCTTAGTCTTTTTGGGATAGAAGAGGGCCTTCTTTAAGAAGAAAATGAAGTAGTAAATATGGTTTATATTTGTTGCCTCCAAATACTAATCCTACCTGGCTACCTTTTCATTGGTTCTTGGTTGTAATCCCATAGGACTCCAGAGTTTAGGAGAAGGAATTGAAGTGTTTTAGGGAGTTACACTACTATTGATAGCCTTGGATCTGAATATTCAGTGAAGAGGCATTCATACATTGCTTTTCTGGAAAGTTCATCAGTGCCAGAGGACAGATTTACAAGTGTGAATGTGAAGAGTCAGCACTCATACAAAAACAGTTACTATGGAAACACTTTTTATATATATCACTTTTGTCTCACAATATGTACGCTGCCAAGACTGATTTTTCAGATTTGTGTTTTTTTGTTTTTTATGTGGGAATTCATATATGCCGTTTCCCCTTTCATATTGTATAACTTGTTGTCTACAAAACTAAGATCATTTCAACCAATATTGCTCTTGCTACAGGAAATAATATTTTGTTTAGAACAAGTGAATACTATATACTACCTACATTATGTTATCACAATTTTTTGTGTGAATATATTTACGTTTTCCATTTACATTACAGCAATGTAAATATTAATAATAATTGGCTATCCAATATGTTGTTTGTGGGGAAATACTCATGTTTGTTCTTCCCTGTGGCATGCACACATGCATGCATGTGTGCGTATAATAGTAGTTTATTGAAAACAGTGAGAGATCAGAGAGAAAGTAGGTAGTTGGTAATACAGGTGTAAAGGCTTCTGTGACTGGCTACTTGATTGTCAGGGCTGGTCCAAGGGTAATTGGCACCATAGGTGAACTGCGTACCTCAGCGCCCAAAAGGTGGAGTAACGATTCTAGTGATCTTTCCTCTAAGATCGTTTCAGAGGTCTTTCTCCCCTTACCAAACCAAAGGTCTTGGATCAAGGTGGAGCTGTTATTTATAATGATGTTCCTGTTTCAAGCTGCATATAATTTTGGCGCCCTCCAAATTTTGGTGCCCTAAGGCAGTGTTTCTCAACCTTTTAAGTAGCAAGTACCCCCTAACTTCTGAAAATTTTAATAAATACCCCAACACTCAATTTTCCAGGGGATTTTATATTTACAGACTAATGTGTGCCATATGTTGGAAGAAGGGCTGCGTATATAAGGCCATGATATGACAGATGTCTGATCTGCTGTGGGTAAGGATGCTACCTTTTACACCCGGGGTGCTCAAGAATGTACCTGGGCTAGAGGTGATGTTGGCTAAAGCTAGGAGGGCTGAACCCAGTGTTGTACAAAGCGTGGCACACCAAATTATTGTTGGGGATTTAAAGTGCTGCGCAGTGCGCAGCGTGCCAAATTTTTTGCCATAGTTTTGAGAGGAGGAAAGGGTGAGAGAGAGAGAGAGGAAAAGAGGATGAGAGAAAGAGAGAGACAAGGATATAGCGTGAGAGAGAGAGAGTGAGGCAGGGAAGTGGGGAGAGTGAAGAGAGAAGGAAGAGAGAGAGGGAAGGGGGGAGAGAGAGGGGACAGGTAGCAACTGTAATTGTGGAGCAGGCAGGTGGTGTCAGCTGCTTCTGGGGCCGCTGCAGCAGGGGTTGGAGCGATGGGGAGAAGCAGAGGCCACCGCATAGTGAGGTAAGTCTGTAGAGCAGGGTTCGGCAACCCCAGGGGCATGTGTGCCCCTGCTGCAGCAGCCCCGGAAGCAGCTGACATCACCTGCCTGCACCACAATTACGATTGCTTCCTGTCCTCTCTCTCTCTCCCTGCTTCCCTCTCTCTTCACCCTCCATGCCCACCCCCATCTCGCTCACTCTCTCTCGCCCTATATCCTTGTCTGTCTGTCTCTCTCTCTCTCACCCTCTTTCCCTGTGTCTCACCCCTTTCTCCTCTAAAAAGTATGGCAAAAAATTTGAAGATCCATTTGCAGTGAAACAAAGCTGAGTAGAGTGCAGTGACCAGAAAGGCCTATGAGGTCCCAGTGAAAGCCATTCCTGGGGGCCTGGCACAGAACTACTTCCCACAGTCTGTTCCCAGGGCTTTGTCTTGTTGCAGCAAACTCACGTGTGAGGGCACTGAGTACTTCCCAGGGGACACTGGCCCACAGTCTACTTGAGATGCAGAGTGTGGCCTCATTTTAGCTCTAAGAGCTCTTGGGGGGCTGTGGGGGATGTTGTTTCCAAGCCCACAGCAAAGCCCCAGCTGACCCAGCAGCCCTCCATTCCCAAATCAAGGCTTGAAAGTAACCAGGCAATCAGGTTTTCCATCATGCTCGCTGTGCCCAGCCCGGTGCAAGCCCAGAAATGGTTTGCAATGCACTGATTAGCTTTCGCTGCAAAGCTTCCAAATATTTTGGGCCTTAATAACACAATAAAGAGCAGAAACACTAATAAGCAAATTAGGAGAAGTTCATACTATGCTAATGAGTATGGCACACGGCCATTTTGCTTGGCACTCCACTGTTAGCCATGGAGCCCTGGCTGTTCCCAGCAGGCAGCTGGGAGGATGCACACCCTGCTGCAAGCAGCCCGGGCTCTGTCGCTGGCAGCAGCTAGCCAGAACCTGGGCTGGCTGCAGCCAGGAGGCTGCAAAGGAGCTGCTCCAGGCTCCAGCATCCTGCGGCTCAGAGTAGACGGAGAGGAAGGGGGGCCCTGAGGCAGCACAGCCCAGAAAAGCCCTGGGCAACTGCAGCAGGGAGGCTGCAAACAGCTGCAGCCCCAGCATCAGCTCCATGCTGGTGACTGCATTTGCACCTCAAAGCAGAGAGCAGGTTTATCCCTGCTCTTTGCTCTGAGGCACACATGCAGTTGCCGCCAGCACATAGCTGATGATGGGGCTTGGGAGCCAAGCGCAGCTGTTTGTAGCCAGCTGGGCTCTGGCGCAGCTGCAGCAAACAGGCTGTAAACAGCTGCATCAGGCTGTGCAGCCCTGGCATCAACTCCGTGCTGGCAGCAACTGCACGCACACCTCAGAGCAGAAAGCGGGGAGAAACCTGCTCTGAGGTGCATGTGCAGTTGCTGGCATGGAGCTGATGCGCAGGCTGCAGAGCCCGATGCAGCTGTTTGCTGCCTGCTGCAGCTGCCCCAGAGCCCAGGCTGGCTACAGGTGGGGCTGGCGGCAGCACAGGGCTTTTCCCCACATTCGGCAGCAGCGGCGCTGGGGGGGGTCAAGCAGCAGCCCCCCTCCCATCACCACAGCCTGCCCCGAGCTCCAGGAAGAGCCCAGTGCCACGGCCAGCCCTCCCGCCCGCAGTGAACTGGGCCCTGGGCGGGCTGGGTCATGGGGCCATTCCCCACTGTGCAGGAGGAAACAAGGCAGCACCCTGCCCCTCCTGCAGTCTAGAGATCTCAGTCTGCCCACCCCCTCAAAGACCAGGAAGGATAAAAAAGAAAGAAAACTTGCCTGTTGGTGGGGAGTGTACGGGTATCTGTGTTCCCGCCCTCCCCTCCTGCAACACCCTTTGGCCGGTTTCGGGGTGGGGGCGAGCAGCTGGACATGAACCCGGTGGCAGTAGGGGGAGCAGCAGCACTCCCTTGCTGCAGGGGTTTTCCATGCCCGCATACCCCCTGCCTGTGTCTCGCGTACCCCCAGGGGTACACATACCACGGGTTGAGAAACTATGCCCTATGTGAACTCAGTAGTTCGCCCAATGGTTGGACCAGCCCTGTTGATTGTATGTGAATGGGTCAATGGGTGGGTCTATATGGAGTGAAGCACAAAAATAAAAAAAATGGAACATTACTTTAGTCACTTTTGTGTATCTAATATTATGACTTTTTTATTGCATCCATAAGCTTAAAATCAGACATACTTGCACAGCAGCGAATAGGTACTACCGTAAAATACTCTGAATTTATTGGATAAAGGATCATATGCATGTAGAACTGGTCACCATTGTAGAAATTCAAGACTTACTGAAATAAATATTTTTTTTCTTGAAATTCTGAGTTAACATGTTAATTACAACACAATTCTGGAATATCTATTAACATAATAGGGCCTTTTTTCTAAATCGCAACATTGTTTATAGAGTGAGATTCTGTTACCATTAATGAACAAAATATTGATTGAAACCATTTATGTCCAAAGCACAAAATACTACAATTTAATGCACCTTTGCTTACTTACAGTACTCCATGTCAATATACATATTATGTATTTAGTATTCCCATTATAAATGCATCTTTCTTATCAGTCTTAGCATAACAACTTCAGAAAACCAAAAACCTTGTGTGTTTAAAGTAAAATAATAAAAATATTTAAAAACCTGTTTATATCTGCTTTTTTACCATTTATTTCAGGATCTGGAAATGGAGTGGAGAGGCGAATATTCTCTTGATTCTTCAAATTTAGATTGTTTGTTCAATAGTGTTCCTGGTGATGTGGAGTTTCAGCAAATCCTCAGTGATATTGATGAAAAAATAAAGAAAAATTCTATTAGGTAAATTATTTAAAATGTATTTTGATTGTCCAAATTACTGCTAAGAGCCATTTTGTTTGTTTGTTTGTTTTTCCTTCCTCTTCATGATGATATCTTATAATCTTGAAAGTTATTTCACTCATTTGGCCTTCGTTACTTTTCATTTTGTATATGAAAACATCAGTTAACTTTTTATTTGCTTTCCTCTGCAAAAATGTTTTAATATCTGGAATCTGCACAACTCTTGAAATTGATCCAACTGTTGTGAGAGAGAAACAGAGAGAACACGTGGTCTCATCCCTTAGGCACAGTGGTTGGGCTGAGGACAGGTTTTCTTTTTTAAAAAGTGTTACTTACAGGATGAAAAGCAGGAGACATTATAAAGGTTGAATTGTAAGTAAGCCATTCTTTTTCTTAATACAATAAGAAAATAAGTTCCCCATCCTCATCAATAAATTAAGTGACTGTGGCATTGATGCCTACACAGTTGGATGAGTAAAAAATTGGCTGATGGGGCATACCCAGAGAGTAGTGGTGTACAGGTTGTACTCAACCTGGCGAGACGTGAGCAGTGGGGTACCCCAGGGCTTGGTCCCGCAGTGTTTAACATCTTCATCAGCGACTTGGACAAGGGGTGGAAAGCACGTCCAAGTTTGCTGATGACACTAAGATGTGGGGTGAGGTGGACACACTTGAAGGGAGAGAGAGGCTGCAAATAGACTTAGACAGACTACAAAAGTGGGCAGATAAGAATAGGGTAGGGTTCAACGTAGATAAATGCAGGGTGCTGCACCTTGGGAGAAGGAATCCA